TATATATATATATATTTATGTACATGCACATACACACATGTATGTGTGTGTATATACACACACCCATACATGTGTATGTATGTATGTATGTATGTATGTATGTATGTATGTATGTATGTATGTATGTAGACCTCTATCTATCTGTCTGTCTGCCTGGCTTTCGGTCTGTCTAGCACTGTAGAGAGCTTTCAAAAACATAATATTCGTATTACTTTATAGTGCCTGCATTACCAGAAACTGTCTTGACTACTGAGGCCCCCATACTAAGCCCTAACTCGGATCCCGACGTCCCGCACTTCCTTTGAGCGCACAGGTATGGGCGAAACAAGTGCCTGCAGCTGGGCTCAGCACAAGTTGCTTCGATTCTGTTCCGTTAGAGTCGAGTTTTTCAGCTTTGGGGCTTGAAGGGTTTAAGGCTAGGGGTTTAGCTGAACCAAGTGGTACCAGGTCTAGGAATCATCAGTGCGCGGTATGACATCGGACGGAGATCTCAGTGCGCTGATGTAGGAGGTGCGAGACCGGCTCCCGCACAGCAGCTATTTGTGTGGCTGCCCGGGCGCGCTCAATCTCCCAAGCACAGTGGCAACTGTGCCCTGCATGAGCAAAACGCTTATGTAAAGCCCGAAGAAACGATAGAAACCCTGACCCCAAGCCGAAGCAGTGGGGCCAATGATCCACCGGGGCTCTTCCAGTGCCGGTGCTTTTCGCAGGTTGATAGACTGATTTTCATTGTTTTTGAAAGAGGTTGCTGCAGCTGCTGCTGCAGTTCTTGTTGTTGTTGTTGTTGTTGCCATTGTGCCAATTGTATGCAGTAACTTGAATGCCGCAAGGCAAGTCTTCCACCTCTGGGCCATGGGTTGCGAGTTTCGCGTGCTTTGGGATGGCTGCCTGCTACACTGCCCGCACGGCCGGGAACCCGGAGTAAGGGTGGGGAGGGTGTCCGGGCTTCTCAGGCTGCTACATCTCCTCTCCTGTTGTCAATCTCTCATTCACGATTTCGCTGGCTCTCTTTTGCTTTTGTTCCTTGCTCTTATTATTTCCTAGTCTTTCTTCAGCTCTCTCTCTCTCTCTCCGTCCCTTTCTCCGTTTTGTTCTCTCTTTCTCTCTCCCGCTCTCTCCCTCGGTGTTGATCTATCGATTGGTTGCGCCTGGGGATACTTGCAAAAGCAGCCCACCGCACAGTAAGCCTCGAACGGGCATGCAAGTTTTTTGGGGTTCGCAGTTTTTTGGATTTCAGCTTGCGTGGGTGTGAGATTTAAGTTCTTATCAGGCTTTGGGATCCAGGCAGCTACTTATCTAGCAGTCCTTGCAAAAGGGGTCCTGTCCATTTCGAGTCCTGAAACACCCTTTTTCACAATGCTTCAGGTATCGCTGGGCTTAGGGTCAAGGGGTTTAGGGCTTAGGGTTTAGGGTTCCGGGTTTAGGGTGTAGGGTTTAGGGCTTAGGGCTTAGGGCTATTCCCTGTTGCAAGCGTCCTTTGGGGAAGACCCCAAGGCTGAAACCCGAGGGCTAAACCCTCAACCCTAGACCCTAAACCCTACCGTAACATATGAGACTTCAAAGCCAAAGCACAGAGCCAAACCGATGAGCCAGGGTTTACTTGTTTTCAACTGATTTTGAGATTGCGTTCATCGGATAACCAACTTGTGAGAGTCCTTTGAAGGAAGGGGCGTCTGTGCGCAGTGAATCATGGGTCAACATCACGATCCGTAGAGTTTAGCTGGGGTTTAGGGCTTGGGACGTGCATCTCTTCTCCGGCTTGGGTGTCTTCGGGCATGCACAAGCCGGGAAAAGCAGGATGAACCAGTCATGTGATCTGTGGAAGCAACACTGTCCGTGTCCGTGAAGAAGCATGCCTTCATCCTCCACCATCGTCGCTGTCAGGATTTTTTCATCTTCACCCTCCTCGCCCTCGTCCTCGTCCTCCTCCTACTCATGACAATGGCAATGACCATGACCATGACCATGGCCATGACCAGCATCATCAACATCAGTATTAGTTTAGGGTTTAGGGTTTAGGGTCATCATCCTCATCCTCGCTCCTTTTTCTCCTCACGACAGTCTTTGGCACAGCCTTGTGAGGCCCCAGCGATGCCTGCAAGCGGACGCTGGGTCCGCAGGGCACGGCCCGTCTGGGCGAGGTGAAGCGGCTCTACAAGGAGGGGCTGTGCTGCAGGGGCCGAGAAGGTATCATCGGATTGCTTAGGGCTTTTTATGGGGCGGATATCTGGTGGCCATGTGCGGGGTTTAGGGTTTGAATGCAGGGAGTAGTTTTAGTAATCATTGAGACATGGGTTGTCGATCTTTTTGTTGTAAGGAGCCCCTTAGTATTGGGCTGCAGAGTTCGAGCGATTCAGGATTCGCTGGGGTTGCAGAGTTTCGGGTTTAGGGTTTATGGGGTTTATCGGGTTTAAAGGGTTTAGGGTTTCAGATTGTGGGACCCCCGAACCAGTTTACGGTAGCAGCTGCAAGAACAGCAAAGGACTGGCTGGTGGTGAGGGTTTAGGGCCATTTAGGGTGGGGGTTTGGGTTGTTTTGTAAACCTGTAGTATCCTTGGTTGCTAAGTTCCGTGGTCCTTCGCGATCCCCCCACGCTCTAAACTCTAAACTTTATACATGCCCTACAGAGCCAGTTAAGAAGCCTGTCATGACCGCCCAGACCATTTGAAGCCCCCTAAACCCTAAACCCTAAACCCTAAACCCTAAACCCTAAACCCTAAACCCTAAACCCAAACCCTAAACCGTAAACCCTAAACCCCGAACCCTAAACCGTGAGCCCTGAACCCCAAACCCTAATCATAAAGCAGAAGTGCGGGGCGACCTCGAAGGAGGCGCAGCTTGAAATCCTGGCCTCAGGAGGGGCTCCGTGGTACCTTGGTGCGGGTTCAGGGGAATTTAGGGGTGCAGGGTTTGGGTTTGCTGTTTTTATGCAAACTTTAGGGGTCTGTTAACGTTTTTCTGAAGCGCTGTGAAGTATTTTGGGGTTGTGGTGTCGTTGGCTTCGGGTTTGGGATATTAGTTTTTTTGGTTTTGGATTTGAGGGGTTTAGGGTTTGAGGTTGCTTGAAGGGCTCGTCTCATCCAACCCTGATATAGAAGCCTGAATAATTGCTAACACGATTCTTCAGGGTTCCCTTGATATAACTAATCGATATGTGGAGTGCTGAATCTGACCCCTGTCCCCAAATCCTCGGCCCCGATCCCACACCCTAAACCCTAAAGCCTATACCCTACATCCTGAACCCTAAACCCTAAACCTTTCTAGACCCGAAACCTTAGGTCCCTAAACCCTTACGTACAAGGTACAGCGAGCGGCAGACCTCCGTCCCCGAACTCCGCAGCGCTTTGGCAGCTGCGGCACGGGCCAGCACGGCACTCTCAAAAGGACGGCCCTCTCATGATTATTGGGTTTAGGGTTTAGGGTTTAGGGTTCAGGGTTTAGGCCTATTCATGATTACTATTATATTACTCGTAGTAGTATTATTATTATTGCCAGTCTCCTACTTCTTATTGATATTCGTATAAGCTCTGGCTTGGCTTTGGTTATCGTTGAAGAGCTTTGCTTACGAAATCAAAAGAGCCTCCCCACAAGCCCACACACTCCAACAAGATCCGAACCGACTCCTTGTCCTAAGTAGCAATATAGGGGTCTGACGAATTTCTAATTTCCAATCGTGTCTATCCCCATGTAATCCGGACATAGTATACACCAAAGCCACTTCCGATTGTCATGGCCCGTACAGCAAACCCTGTCAGACCCTGTAAATATAAACCTTCTGAAGCAACACCGCAAAAGCTCACAACGAAGCAATGCAGGACTGGAGACCGAAGTGGAGAAGGTCCTGAAGGAGCAGGCGTTCTTGAGGGTGTCATAAATTAAGGTACTTCTGCAGGGGTGTCTCATGTTGTTGAAGTTTCTGTGGGTTTGACGAGGCTGAGTAGGGTCTTACAGGATTTTCTTGGAAAGGTCTTAGGGCTTAGGGTGTAGGATGCCAGGTGTTCGGTGTTGTTGTCGAAGTCCGGGCCTTCATTTCTCTTGGATACAGCATTTCCGGTTGCGAGCTTCTTGACGGCGTGGATCCTGCTATCGGTGGCCCGATTCCGTTTTACCCATAAGCATTGGAGACAACAAGTAAGGAGAAACCCTAAACACAAGAACGCCGCAAACCTCCTAATCTTCATCACGTGCTCTGTCGCAATACACGAGCTGGATGGAGATGGGGAGAAGCAATGTGCTGTCACGCTGACGAACCATGGCGTGCGTCCATCGTGGAGCAGGTGGCGCATGGATGGAAGCAAAAAGTTGACGAGGCTCGCAGGAAGAACTCCGAGGGAAAGCTTTCAGTGTACAGTTTTCTGCATCGACAAGACTCTCTACATGCAAATCTCCCATCTGCTCGGCAACCTTGGAACACACCGGTGGCTTCTCAAGCCTTCCGACGAGACACCTGGCAGTCACGCAAGAGACCAGCAGTGTTGAAGAAGCCTTCGGAGAGCGCGAGGCACGTGGATGCGCTTCACTGGTGCTTGCAGAGCCTCCAGGAGAAGAGCCTGCGGCTAAGTGCTGAAACCGCTCCGCCTTCTTCTGACCATAAAATCCGTCAGTGTAGGCAGGCAGTTCAGAGCTCAGACTAGGATGACCTTCAAATCCTTAGACCCTAAACGCCATATCCTACGCCTCGACCACAACCCCTAAAGCCCAAACCCAATCCCAGGTTTAAAGGGTTTGAACCCCGACGAGCCTTGGACGAAGGCCGTCTGCTTCTACGCGGAGCTCCCGAGCAAAGGGCTTGGCAGTGCCGTGTGCGCCTGGGGTTGCAAGGAGGCTGCATGTTCAGAGCTTTGGCGGTTTAGGGTTTGGAGATAGATGGGGCTTGCTAAGGGTGGGTTTTGGTTTTGGCTTTGGGGTGTTGGGTTTAGGGCGTTGGGGGTTCGAGGGGTTTAGGGGTTTAAGGGATTTTGGGTTTTGGGCAGGGCTTAAAGCCTGAACCCCCAACCTTGGCCGTTCTCAGGGGTGTAGGGCTTTGGGGGTTTATTGTTTAGGGGTTAAAGCCGTTTTGCCCGAACATCCTTAAGTCCCTTGTCCCGAAACCATAATCTTTTAAAGCTCCAAAGCCCTCAACCCTTAAACCCTCAACCCTTAAACCCTAAACTCTTCAACCCTAAAATCTAAAGCCCTAACCCTGAACCCTTACAGTAAACCCTAGACTCTTAAACCTTAAACTCTAAAACCCTAAACCCTAAACCCTTAAACCCTAGACTCTCAACCCCTCAACGCCGTAAATCCTAAACCGAGTCAGCTCTGAAGCGCTCGCTAAGGCGTGGGCCAAATCCTCCCAGGCTCTGACATCACCTGGAGCACACACTGCTCGCAGGACAGCCCGTTGAGGGGTTTCAGGGTTGTAGGTTAGTTTTTGTGTTGGGGTTTTAGGGTTCAGGGTTCGGGCTCCTTATGTGTTAGATTGAGGGCTTATTTGGTCGGCTCATTTTCTTAAACCGGGTTTTCGAGGTTTAGGGTTTGGGTTGAGGGTTGAAACTGGGGACGCTGAACCCCCTAGAACCATCAACACCCTTCAAGCTATGCCTCACGACGAGGATCCCACAACGGAAGGTCCTTTGCCCTACAGACCCCAAACGGAACCCTACAGACCCTGACTCCCTGACCTTGCCTTCCCTAACCCTTTGCCGGACACCCTAAACTCCCAAACGTGGCTCCGGGTGTAGGGTTTAGTCACAAGGGTTTAGTCTGTTTAGGCGTAGGGCTTCGAGGTCAACCCTAAGCCCTAAACCCCGAACCCTAAACCCTAAACCCCAAACCCCAAACCCTAAACCCTAAACCCGAAACCCAAAACCCTGGACCACAAACTCCAAGCCCCAAACCCTCAACGCTGAACCTAAAGAGAGAGAGAGAGAGAGAGAGAGCCCCTCCAGGACCGGCTGCCCAAGGTTCGCGCTCTGATCCATCGCCCTCCGGCTCGGCAAAGGGGGGTTTCGGATATTATGGAAGCTACAATAATTACCTACCTATAGTCTCCATCATAGTTCCTTTTTGGTTTAACCAATTATATGTTGAGGAATTTATAAGGTATCCCCCAAAAAGAACTACCATGGAGACTAAAGGTATACTATTTTGAGGGTTCCTGGTTGAAAGTTATAGTAGAATCTACCCCAAGACCCTATTCTAATTATTCAGGCCGCTACATTAGAGGGTTTCGGGCTCTAGACGTGAAGTTCTGAACCCTAAACCCTGAAACCCGGAAACCCTAAACTCCTAAACTCCTCAACTCCTTAACCCTAAACCCTCAAACCCCTTAAACCCTAAAGCCCTAAAGCCCTAAACTCCTAAACCCTAAACCCGAAACCCGAAAACCCCTTAAGCCCTAAACTCCTAAACCCTAAACCCTAAAGCCCTAAACCCTAAACTCGTAAACCCTCAGCTCTAACCTTGGAAACCCTAAACCCTAAACCCTTGAACCGTAAAGCCCTAAACCCTAAACTCCTAAACCCTAAACCCTAAACACGGAAACCCCTTAAGCCCTAAACCCTCAAACCCTTAACCCTAAACCCTAAAGCCCTAAACTCCTAAACCCCTGAACCCTCAACCCTAAAGCCCTAAGCTCCTAAACCCTAAACCCTAAGGCCCTAAACCCTAAACTCCCAAACCCCTAAACCCTCAACTCTAAACCCTAAACCCTAAACCCTAAACTGCTAAACCCCTAAACCCTCAGCCCTGAACCGCTTTAACCCGGCCCGAGTGTGCTCGAGGCTGGTCGGGGCCCATCGCGTGCGCCGTGCTGGGCCCAAGAGGTTCTCTTCGCAGCCTACGAGCAGAGGCCGAAGAGCTGCCCGGAGGAGGGTTTAGGGTTTAGGGTTTAGGGTTTAGGGGTTTAGGGCTTAAGGGGTTCAGGGTTTAGGGTTTAGGGCTCAGGGTTTAGGGTTTAGGGTTTAGGGTTTAGGGCTTAGGGTTTAGGGTTCAGGGTTTAGGGTTTCGGGCTTAGGGTTTAGGGCCGAAGA